CAGTAATATAAAATTTGCGCCCGCATTTGCTCCAATAGAAAACGCTCGCGACTTGAAAACGTGCGTGTGCTGGTCCGTGTCGTTTTGTTCGTGTCGTGTCCGAGTCTTGTGACTGGCCTTGAATTACGGATATTAAGAGACAAAACAAGAAATACATTTCAAATTAAAATTGGCATCCCTAATATAGATTACATCTACGAGTACCTTGCAGAGAGAGTTGATAACATAGATGCTAGAGCCGCAAGCAGAAAAAAAGGACATTACAGTTGTTACAAACATACTTGTATGATATGCCTATTGCAATTAATGGTTAGCATTCTTATCATGTTATGTCCTCATATTTTGTCAAGACTTTAATTTAAATTTAGGTACAGGTACAAATGCACTACCTTTTACTTTTTTCGCTGTGCTTTGGAGGGTTCACATGCCAGTGGCTAGTATTGCTTTTGAAACCTTTTTCTCTCACTTATCTCGTTTTGATTGACTCGGAAGGTTTTTTTCTTAGGATCCTGGCAGGCCGAGCTGCGTGCGCTGTGTCACCTTAAACTGTTCATGCAAGTGACACAGAAGAGAATAGTCTGTGTTTCCTGTCTGTGATAACATATGGCTTTCTTGGGGGAGGCTGAGGACTACTTTCAGATGTCGTGGTGTTTGAAGGAGCGTCACTTGAGGGTGTTGAAGGGGGGGTCCCAAGAAAGATGCGTTGGCACCACAGGGCTTGTGGAAGAAGATAGTGCGTGAGAAGTATTCTTCTCGCGTCCCTTGGATGTTTTCCTTGCCCCAATAAAAAATTTTTTGTTTAAATTACTGTGTATTATCTATGATAAGCAAACTTTTAGCCTTGTAATTTACTATGCTTAGCTATGATATGGGTATACTATCATGCTAATAATGTCATCAACCTCATTGTTTATTTTGTATGTGCGCATTCTTATATTATATTATATATATATACATATATATATATATATATATTATATATTATATATACATTATATATGTTTATATTTTGTATGTGCGCATTCTGTTAAAAATATATAACAAACATTTGGTTTTTACATGGTACAGGCCACACTATTTATAATACAGTGGCCATTTGCTTACCAATCTTTGGTAAAAACAATAATTTCTGGCAACTTATTCGACATGCACAAGTGGCTTGTTTTTAAGCACTTTGTCTGTTTATACTGGTTTCGTGCTTCTCCTCCATCCTCCTACTGGACTACTACTACTACTATTACTACTACAACAAAAACCTACTCCTTGCTTCGTCTTCTGTCGGTCATCGCCCTTATTCATGAAAATGCATGAAGCCAGATGTTAGGGGCCTAGTAGAGGGTCTTACAGCTCTGGGGGTTGACGCCTGTTACGGCCACCGGGCTGGGGGCCGTGAAAAAAGCTATCAGAACATTAGAATACATTCAACGAATTAATGACCATGCTATGAGTGGGGTGGTATCAACCACTAGCTGGCCACGTTGTGGATTCTCTAGCTGCAGAAACAATATTCGGCAGGAGGGAGCTCTCAACCGTGTTGAGTGAGGGTGAAAACAGAGCGGGGGGAGCCATACAGGCTCAGGAAGAGTAGCGGGGGGGCTGGCGTAGATGTCCTTGTGGCAGCACTCGTGGCTCGGCATATGTGTAGTATTCTTGAACTGTTACCATTATTGTATAAGAATAATCTTGAGATTCAATAGTAGCTATCAAACGACTGAACTGCACTCAAACTGCAACCCATCAGAGCAGTCAGTTTGTCCAAATGTGCCAGTGTAGATCTATAGTCCTATTGTACAAACGTTGAAGTTTTATTGGAATTAAATGGTTGGGTGGTAAAGAACAAGCCGGACAAGCGATTACATATGATCGAGGAGTAAATAAAAGCAACAACGTCTGACATGAGCTTTCCCCATGTTTTTACTGATCTTTTTGTGATGCCATCTGCGTTTAGATAATTCTAATAGAGCGCAGAGTATTAACCATGCGACGCCATGTGGCCAGAGCCGGGAAGGTGCTACACTGTTTAGGGTAGCAGCTGGGGCGATACTTCTGACTTATACCTCGTATACACACAAACGGCCTAGCAAGATATCAACGACGGCAGACATCGATGATCGATGTGCCCGCCCACAGGCGCGTGGGGGAAACATAGAAGACGCGTGTCTAATGTATTTTTCTTGTCGTCCGAGGTTGGGTCCGGTCGCTGGTCGTCGTCACGGTCAGTGTGCAATGGTCCTCATAGGATAACAAATAGTTTTTTTCTAACTTTCTGAAAAGTCGTTTGTTGTTACTGCGGGCGGGGGGGGGTCGGGGTCGTCTGTTGCCTCTGGCAGTTGTGTCTTTGTGGCCTGTTATAGTTTGTCACAGAGCAACACAGAAGGCTCTAGATTTGACTTAATCTGTGTGTGCGAGAAACAAACTTAGTCACATTATGAAATAACAATTTTTTATGGTTGTCCAAGATATGAGATTGTGTGTTTACAACCACGTTAGCGAGTGAATGAGATAGCTCAATTAGCTGCTCGTGATATGTAGGAGATGTTTTGCCCTGCCAAACTACAGCTTGCAGATGTGGATTCAATTAAAACCTGAATTTTAATGCCTTAATGGCAGTACACAACTACAGATTGATTCAGGATACCTTATTTTGACTTATCCATTACTGTATTATTATGTATATTAATTTAATTATTTTATTATATTCAATATATAAAATACTTATTATTACTGTATATTTTTATCCCACCCCGACTCCACTGACTCAGCTATTATTTAGGCCATGCTTGTTCGCCTCCCTAAAGGCTGGCACCCCCTCTATCTGGGCCGCACAGCCAAATGGCGAGCTCATGGCTCGGCGGGGTGCTAGCTAAAGCCACGGCGGAATACTTGGGTAAATGGTTATTGAGCCCCTGTACTAACCATTTACACGAGCGACAGTGCAACAGATCAATTTCAAAGTAAACAACGAACCCCCTGTTTGTAAAGGTAGACGAGTTCATGCCTCTAAAACAGCTTTGCATAAATTTTAATTAATAGGGTGTGTAATTATGGCGGAACATTACCTGTGGAAAGATTAATGCCACTTCCCTTTTTGTAACTGTTGATTTGCAACCGGTATGCAACACGATGAATTTGCAGTTTTCGACTTCTGCCGTCCATTCAATTCAGGGGAAAGCCTGTTTGAAGTCGGTGAGTTGCAGAAGTTCCCGCTTCATTCAGTGAATGAGCGCGGGCCCGGCCGCTCACGAAATCACAGCGAGTTGACGGGAGATCCGGCCTCTAGGTCTAATATAGGGTGAAAGCTCTATTGAAGACCAGACGTATATTCATTCTTTTCCGTATAATTCCTTGGCTTGGTGCAGTACAACTGGCGTTGCAGATGGGGACTGTTTATATGACACACAGCTGGACGATGGTTGAGAAATAGTCAACTTGCGGCGTTGGATGCCACTCTAACTCGGAAACTAAGACTGGTCTGTCGGTTTTTTACTTCTTTGTGGTGGTTACGCACAAAGAAAGTTGAATGAGTATTCAGTAGTTAGATTAGTGTCTCTAGTATATTTCGCGTTGTGGTTGACACAGAGTGTTACTCTGTACGTTTAATTAACGCTCGGCCGATGCCTTATTAAACAGCAAGGCAGCCTCTGGTGTTCGTTGAACAGCGCTATGGAAGGTGTAAGACTTGTAAGTAAGGGCGATAGTGATTAGTGATGGTCGGTTCAAGGATATGAGAACATGGGTGTCCCAATAAAACAATGTCATTTACATCAAATATAAATATTAATATTATATCCCAATATAATTAGGCTTATTGGTAGCGGTTAGGCGTTAGGTTAGAATTAGGTTAGGGTTAGGCACATTGCGTTTTATTTTTGGTGACCCATTGTTCTCTATCCTTCGGTCCGTAACTATCTAGTGATATTGTTTAGGGTTTAGGGTTTAGGAACTCTTAGGAGTAGGCGTAGACGACTCCCTAGCACTCGTTAGTTGGCAGGTAGGCGACGCGTACGGTCCGGCCATATTTATGATAGTCAGACCAATAAATTGTGCCCTAAAAATGTTGTATATGTCTGATTGTTATTTTAGGCGCAATAGCCTATCCATGAGGACAAAACCTCGTGAATCTGTCATGCCAAAATCGCACGACAACCCCCTTTTCACTATTTACGGCCGTGCTTACATAGAAATCAACAGAATTACATAAAAGCCGTCGCTACGCTTATTAACATCTTAACCGTACATTACAAACACTTGTCAACTGCAGTATTCTCCTCTTTAATCACGTTTAATTTATTAAAACATCACGACATAAAAATCACGCCAAACTTCACTACACACAAAACTGCCAATCTTGCCATTGAACCGCACAAAACATCTTCTCACCGGCCAAAATGAAATCATCGCTCGTCACACTGTGACGCTTTATCCGGTGCGTTCAATGCAAGATTGGCCGTTTTGTGTGTAGTGAAGTTGGCGTGATTTTATGTTGTGATGTTTTAATAATATAAACGTGATTAAAGAGCGAGAATACTATAACGCTGGAGAACAAGCCAAAGATGTGCGGCCCGCGTGTAACAAACAACTGATTTATTAAGTTCGGTACAACACTCGTCCATAGGTGGCGCTCGTATATCAATACCAACATTGTACATATCGCCACAAAATACTGCATGACCAAGTGTTTTGTAATGTAGCGTTAATGGTGTTAATAAGCCGATCGGCTTTATGTGTTTCTTTGATTTTCTATGTAACACTGGCCGCTTAAATACGTGGAAAATGGTTGTCGCTGCCTTTTGCATGACAGAATTCAGAGGTTTTTGTCTATGGCCAAGCCTATTCGGCCGCCCTTAATAACATCAGAATTATAAAAAATTTTAGGGCACAACAGGCGGTCGAAATTAGCGGATCCGATATCGCGGGATTACAACGATTCTGGCCTAGACGTATGTCAACCTTTCTCGTGTGCGGCGATACCAGATTTCAATGGCTTGGTATTCCCGCCGGCGCATAGTAAAAAAAAATCGTCATTAATCGACGGATAGTGTCGTTGTTGGTTCTATCAACTTTATTACGCAGGACATCTGAGCAAGTCGCCCTTGAGGGGCTGAGCGGAGTGCGCGCCCTTAGATTACTAATTTACTTACTGCTCACACTAGCGCGTTGTTTACTACGAGCAGGCAGTAGCATATTTGCAAGGCGCAAGCGTGGCGATGTATTGCATTCATTTAATTCGTGCAGACATGTGTATTATATACATCTGTATCATGATTGTATCAAGCGAACCAGACAATGCCGTTCTAGACAATACTGTCTGCAGCTGTACTGTGGAGGCCGTATGTGTATATAATTCTTATTGTTTAAAATGAAATGCTCGCGCGAATGCACTCAGCCCACTAATGATTAGACGTGTCGAAGCTGTGAGATTTGTATATAATAATTTACATTTACATATTAATAATTTTCAATGCTATTATTGCACTATATTTTTCAAGATTTTAGATAACCAAACATTGCTGAAATTACGTAATCCAAAAAAAAATCCCGGGGATACCAGATCTGCGTCTTTGGGGCGGATACCAGTTCTCAAATACCTGGTATCCCGACGCCAGATCGGAGTAGCCATAATAAAAATCTAATTTCGACCGGCTTGCACAATCGCTTATTCGGTCTAATTAGGCATAGTTAGTATTTAGGGTGCAAATCCACTTTGGCGCACTTTCTTATGGTATCACTAAGTGATGCACTCAGATTTCTGTGTCCTTCATCAACCTGATGGCACAGACTTTCCGTATATCAAGCCGAATGATGCAAAAAACCCAACCCTAACCCTAGAGTGCATCAAAAGCTATAAACCCTTTAGCTTATGTATCACGAAGTGTTGTTAAGGTTAGCGGTTAACGAGCGTCGCGGATCAGGATTTGGAAAGGGCCGGTGTCCAGAGAATTTTATTTTTTAATTTGGCTTGGTGCATTCTCAGAGCATCTGAGCAGTAATTTTGATGTCTAGAGAATGCAAAATTTTCAGTATCAGATCCGGTCCCCCGGACGCCTGCGGACCCCTCTTTGCCCATTTCTATATGGTTTTTATAACGAATTTACATATATATAAGTAAATCTTTATCAGAAAAACTGGCACTAAACAAGATTTTGTGGTGGCAAAAACGCGTGCGCGCGTGCGTGCGTGTGTATGCTTTTTTTCCTTTTTTTGTGGTAAAAAGGGGGGGTCCGGACCCCCTCGACCCCCCCTCTGGATCCGCCCCTGGGTTAGGGCTAGGGTTAGGGTTAGGGTTTTTGCATCATTCCTTGATATACGGAAAGTCTGTGCATCAGTTGATGATACACAGCAATCTGTGCATCACTTCGTGATACCTAAGGTGCCTGAAGTGGATTTGCACCGTATTTAGTACCAGGGTACGTTCCGGTACCCTGGTAACTATCTGATATACTGGACCGTACCTCGCTTACTCCCTACCGTACCCTGACTGTCCCTGTTCCGCCCACTACAGATTTCGCAAAATTTGAAATATACATACAGACCTGTATGATATAGATAAAGTTGGATTGGAGTATGCAACTGTGAAACCAAGAAGAAACTTCAATATATATACACTGATGCGCACGATCCTTTTGCAAATATCGCGATGATCGGGAATGCGTTTTCCTTTCGCAATGTTCACGACATTTTCGCGCATTTCCGCGCGGGATTTTTGAAAGATGGTTCCAAGTGTTGTGGTGGAACAAGAAAATTTGTATGATTATCTTAATGGGTTGAAAACGTATAGACTAGCTGACACTAATGTAGAAAGGGTCGGGAGGTGAAACGTAACAGGGTAAGGGTTACGAATATTTTGCGGGAACGGACTGGAAACAAGGAATGGGAGTATAAAGCGGCGCGTTTCCTGCCGACAAGCAGTATGTATTACGACATCGGCTGAAAGTCAGGGTACGGTTTGGAGTAGGCGAGGTACAGTCCGGCATATTAGATAGTTACCAGGGTACGTTCCGGCATTACCCTGGGGGACATAGACCCTATCAGCGTAAGTGAGCGGACAACCCACATATCGTGCATCCTAGTCCGAGATTCCTCTGACCAATGGCCACACCGACGATTTTGGTGGATTTGGTGTGGGTTAGGTCAGAGCAACTTGCCTATACAAAACGTGGAATTTCTCCGATCCCGCCGAGGATCGCTTTTTCATTGCTCCAAACTCACAATTGGGGCTATCAATTAAGATCTGACGCACATAGATCGAAAACTGGATAACTTATATGCTTGCTCGCGTTGGTAAGCACACTTGTACTTGTTTACCTTAGTCGTATTTCGATTTGAAAATTTGTTGCTAACAATTTCCCTCCGACATGCATCGGCCATCCATCGCGCATCCAACTGCATTTTGGGAAACAACAGAGTAGCGTATAGAAAGCATGTCCAGTAATAAACCACAAGAGTAGGGTTACAACGCGAGCCTATTCTTTTCTTTGGAGGAGCCCCTGAGTGATTCACTCAGAGCGGTTTTATGGTGCGTTTTACGAGACTAGAACTTCCAAACTGGGTTTATTCTAAACACGAACCTTTCTCCGCTATCCTGGGACTTACTATGTATCACAATACACTGTATTAAACTATTATAACCTGTTACAAAATTTCGAACTGACGAGCGGCGATACTTCGAGCGCCATTTCTGTTGACCTGTGACGTACAGATTCCCAATGTGCATAGCATTCGGCTAACTTCGTCATGACGTCACGACTGACAGCAGGCATCTCATGAGACATTCGATCACATACGATACAACTTGAAGTGGGCAACACGATACACGATATAACGATACACTTCAAGTGGAGTCGAAGTTAGCCGAATGCTATGCACATTGGGAATCTGTACGTCACAGGTCAACAGAAATGGCGCTCGAAGTATCACCGCTCGTCACCTCGAAATTTTGTAACAGGTTATAATAGTTTAATACAGAGTATTGTGATACATAGTAAGTCCCAGGATAGCGGAGAAAGGTTCGTGTTTAGAATAAACCCAGTTTGGAAGTTGTAGTCTCGAAAAACACACCATAAAACCGCCCTGAGTGAATCACTCAGGGGCTCCTCCAAAGAAAAGAATAGGCTCGCGTTGTAACCCTACTCTTGTTGGGTTACATTATTGTATCTACCTTGGACCCGTGTAGAGACTCAGTAAAAACTTAAAATAAGGCAAGTAATATGAACGCACGTTCACAAATCTACACTTCTACTGTTGTGCCACTGTATATATCAACTTGCTTTTGCAAAAACTCTATGTAGAACTATCGGTCCATGCATATATTGCTGACCCATATATTTAAAATTATAGATATAGCGCCATTATGATTATGTGATATTTCACTGAACAGTTCCGCTGAGATTAAACATTACATGGGATTACATACATTATAACATAACATTACATTAACAACACACGGGAGTCCGCAATCTGCAGTTCAAAACTAAAGATATTAACAATACCAGCGCATGTGCTTATTTGGAAGACTCATGCGGTCGCACGTCTGCCAAATTTTCTTTGGAGATTTAATGAAAAATATGGTAATTCCACGAGCCCATGCTCTGGAACGAACTACCGTAGTTAGTAATAGTATATATAGCAGAATTTTCAGGGAGTCACACGCACTCCTATATATATTAGGGAGTCCGACAGTA